TCAGGCCAAGAGGATGTTCCTGGATTTTGTTGACAAGTTTGACTTGCTTTTGAGGTTGCTGTTTTCTTAGAGACCCAGGGCCATAACTTAATACCCACCTGGCTTACTGCCCAAGGATTTCTTTCTCATTGTCTCGCAAACATCGCTTACCCAGACAGGCACATAACCTTGAGGGAAGTCGCAGCACATAAACGGATTAGGGGATTGTCCCCATCCTTCCCGACAGATTAGTCACCCGAGCCTGACACTGCTGCATTTCAGAAGGCTTAAGTTCCCAAGCCCAGGGAGAAAAGGCTGCAGGAGAAACCCGAGTCTACGGGTCACCTCTAAGAAAAGGAAATCCTATTGCTAAACGGAGCATCAAGAGAAAAATGGAGCCACGGCCCTAAGGCTGGTACTTAAAGGAGTCAGATGCCACATGGCTGGTCACGTGGTGTCTGGGCCTCAGTGGCTTGAAAAGCATACTGGGCATATGCCCCTGTCGGAGGGCAAAGAGATCAGGTACCCCAAGGAGAAGGGCTATGGCCTGAGAAAGGACAAATAAAAGTGGGGGTCAGGCAGACCCGGAGTCTCTGCTGGAGAATGCTGTGGCCCCAAGCCCTTCTGGCTCATTCCTCCACAGAGAGGCAAAGCCTGCTTCAGCTGTGGAGCACCTGTGGTTCTGACCGCCTCTCCTGCCTTCTCTGGCTGTCCTCAGGCTGCTTCTACCCGGCTATGTCACTGGACTCCCACATAGCCGACCGTGGTTCGAGTGGTTCAAGTCTCGGACCTGGTGGCTTAAACTCACGCCGGGCGCATGTGTGTGCGTGTTAACGGATGAGAGAGTGTCGAGCTGCGCTGTGATGTCCTTGGTTCTTTGGGTCCAGATCGCTAAAATTAGAGATCTGTCCCTAGGCGCAAAATGAAACCGCAACCACGAATGAAGTAGGTGGAAAAGAAGGCTTAACAGGAAAGAAAGGAAAGTACACCCAAAGAGGCTCTTGGGCGGGCAGATTGCCAGGTGGCACCTGCGCTTGACACTGGTTAATTGTTCCTTTTATTACTAGAGGTGATCGTGAGTATTTATTGGTGGGAGGTCTGTCATACCGCCTATGTCCTTGGTTTGAATTAGAATCCGCATTTTCTCCTGTTTGCCGCATTTGGTGACCTTATTGCTCTTGCCCAGTGTGAGCCAGGTCGTTTAATTAGACGGCCTAATTAATTCATAGTCCTAGTGGGAATTAGGGCGTTGGCCAAAACACTTACTCGGGGACTAGGGTGTTGACCAAAATGCTGGCTTGGGTCCTTTTGATAAGAGAAAAATCTACCAATCTTCCCTGTATGCTTCCCTCAGGCCCCAAGGAAGGAAGATGGCAAACTGCCTCGCCCTCCTGGCGCCTGGGGCTAGGGGAGCCTTTCCGCTTTTCTCTTAGAGCTGCCCTCTCAAGATCCAGAGAGGAGAATGGAGAAGGGATTGTGGCGTGGCCATCTCCCCTGGGGGGTGATTTCTTGCTCTCTGTCTCTCTCTGTTTTTCCTGGAGAGCACAGGTGCCCTATAGCCAAAAAAAAAAAAACAACCCTCTCCAAAAAAGAAAGGGTAGGGGGTAGGGTTTTCTGATGGTAGGGGGTAGGGTTTTCTGATGTAAAAGCAAAAGTAAACTACAGAAGCAAAGCAAGCAGATACAACATACCCTAAGGGTATGTTCCACCCCGGCCTAACCACAATGCACAATGGGATCTTAAGGGTCTTCATGGCTCAGGGCAAGGGGTCTGGCCATTGCTGACTACATCACTAATGAACACCTTAGGGTATGGAGTTTCAGGTTACTTAGCAAAGATAGGAATGTTAATCACTCCGTTTACTCTATGCAAAAGGAGAAAGCAAGTTTCCAACAGAGGAGCTCAAAATGGAGATACTCCTGCTTCCACACGATAGTCCCCAAGAAAAGTGTCTTCTCAGAGGAAGCTTGAAGCCCGGCTACCAAATAACTACCTACTGTGCTCAAGGGCGGGCCCCCTGCCACAGCTCACTCAGAGGCTCCTATGCCTGCCGCTTTACCCCTCTGAGCCTACTACTTTGAAATTTGTTATTTCAGCAAGGGTCCCCACACGTTCTTTCTTAAAAAAAAAAAAAAAAAGATTATTTCCGGGAGCCAGCAGGTGTCATAGCGGTTAAGGTGTTGTACCTCCACACGGTCACTACAGTTCAAGTCCTGGACCTGGCTGCTTGAAACTCATGCTAAGTGTGTGTGCATATGTGCCCCAAATCCAGAGAGAATAGGAGAAGGGATTCTGGTGTGGTCTTCCCCCTGGAGGGTGATTTCTCACTTTTTTTGTCTGTCTTTCCAGCAAGCCCATGCACCCCTACAGCAAAATTCTCCTTCTCAAAAAAAAAAAAAAATTATTTATGGGCTAGCAGGTGGCCTTGTTGCTGAGGTGCTGGGCTCCCACACAGCCAACCATGGTTCAAATCCCAGGCCTGGTGGCTTGCTTTCTCACTTTCTCTTCATTTCTCTCTCTGGTCAAATTTTAAAAAATAACGAAGAAAATTAAATAAGTTACTATTTACTTTTTTTCTAAAAAGATTTATTTTTATTTATCTTTTTTTAAATAATTATTTTATTTTAACTTTATTTATTATTATTGTTACTTTCCAGTTTGATCATACAGACACAGAAAGAGAGGGAAAGTGAGAAAGCAAGCCACCAGATTCAGGACTTGAACCACGGTCCGCCATGTGGGAGTCCAGCGCCTTTAACCACCACGCCACCTGCCGGCCCCCTTATCATTTTTCAACTTGATACAGGCACTCACCAGAAGACAGCTAGCTATTAAGGACTTCACGGGGACAACTGGCAAAATGCGCATGTGAACCTGGGTTAGGTAAGACTGTATGGATGCGAAATCTAACTTCACTAGCCCTGCAGTTTTGTCAAAGAATGCCAAAGGTTTCTGGTTTTCGAAGACACACAGCGAAACTTGTATAAATAGGTAAATTATGACGTCTGCAACTCGGCTGCAGTTGGTTCAGGAGGGGGAAAGTCTACGAATAAAGTTCAAAAGGTAAAGCCAATGGGGCAAACGTAAACAATTGGAACTATGAGTTAACTTTCTATAGGTTTACAATTACACCCAGGTACAGTTACCATCAACGCCCCGCCCCGCCACCCTATCGTGAAACGGAGGAGGGATTTCGCGACATCCGGGAGGCGCACAGAGCCTCAGACCTGCGAAGCCGCCGCGGCGTCCCCGAGTCACGTGAACTCGCCCCACGTGACCCGAGGCCTGCGTCCAACATGGCGGCCTCCACGGGTCTCCGGCTCTGCTTCCTGCTTACGCTGTTCGGCGTCCTCGGGGAACGCTGTGCGGCGTCCTCGGGGAGGCTTCCTCCGGCCTGGGCTCGGGGTGAGTGCGGCTCCTGCGGCGCGAGCCCGTCTCGGGGTCCCCCCGCGCTCAC